AATAATAATAATAATACATTTTAGTACTTATGTAACACCATGTTTATTTCTCACGAGGTGCACCTTTGTAACTTATCTACCCTTAAACATATCGTTTCTATTAAAAAGATATTTCATTATTGTGTAGCCCTTTGTGTATCCTTATTAATCAGGACTTGGCAAACTAAGTCAATTAGAAGAAACTAAATATCATTCTCCTTTTTGAATTATACATATTAAGTATTAAACTTGATTAAATTAATAAAAAATGAACCTACATTATAAAACTGACCTGAAATCAGTTAAAACCGTCAGACACTTGTTCATGGGTTCACCAGATCTTTTATCCTCTTGGATTTTTAGAGAAGTCTGTTTGTCAACATGTATTTTTAGGCACATTTGGATAAACTGTGAATTTATGTTTAAATGAGAAACAAAACCGTTAAACAAAAATAATTCTAAATGCACACAATCCTCTTCGGTGGCAAACCAATATTTTTCATTGGCAATTTTTGGTAACACTTTCACTACTACATTTTTTTTTAAAATACAAGAATGGCATTTTGAAGAAATATAACAGTCCAGGTGTTTAAATAGTTCACCCAAAATGAAAATTTGCTGAAACTTTACAACAGTTTTAAGTTAAAAACATCTTAATGATGGATTTGTTTCTTACAAACATGCAGCTTTTCACTTCACAAGACATTAGCTGATGGACTGGAGTGGTGTGGATTACTTGTGGATTATTGTGATGTTTTTATCAGCTGTTTGGACTCTCATTCTGACGGCACCCATTCACTGCAGAGCATCCACTGGTCAGCAAATGCTACATTTCTCCAAATCTGAAGAAGAAACAAACTCCACATCTTGGATGGCCTGGGGATGAGTAAATTTTCAGCAAATTTACATTTTTGGGTGAACTATTCCTTTAAATAAGTATGATCTACAATGGGCTTTGGTGGTGTTCCAGAATGCAATACATTGTGCAGTTACAGTACAAACATCAGCCGAAAGGTTGTGCTGATGCTCAACTACACAACCAACACACGTTTTCAGTCAAGAATGGTTATTACAAAGGTACAGGCTTAATGTAATGTTCCTAATTAATTTTTTAAATAGTTCATAGATTAAATAATATATATAGTAAAAGATAATCTAACTGCCTGTATGTTTGACATTGAAAGACAGCTTTGACAAAGATTAGCAAACACAGATGTAGTTGTTAATTTATCACTTGTAATGTGATCCTTGTCACATTGAAGCATTATACTGCATATATCACTGCTATCCAGAGGCTTTAACACTGACAAAATATTCATCAGCTCAGTATTTTGACGGTTTGTGCAAAAACCATCCCCGAGACAACTGAATTAGAGCATTTCGAAATAAATCAAACGTGATACAAAAGACGCAGTCAAGTATTTTGAATATTATTGATTCAAGTTACTTCAGTCAGACAAAGTTATCCATTATAGATGAGTTCATAACACTATTACAGGCTCAAGGCCTTATAAACACTATGAAGCCAAAGTCCGCGAGTGTCTAAAGCTCTTCTGAAGGGTTTATTATGTCTGTAGATGCTGCTGACGCCACCATGTAACCTTTTCCAGGAGGGATACCAGCAGCAAGCGCTTTAGTCCAATCTTTAGTGTCCCGAAATGTCAGTAGGATTTCAAACACTGAAACACATCAGCAAATGTTAATTATACACTCAATTTCAACATGGGATGAGGAGGATTATGATTGCAGTATGTAAAAGCTGAGTCAGAGAAAGGGATCTCCCTGGTTGATGGCTAGGATTTTTGGAGTGGAAGTTTTTGGGGTTTGGCCGCTTCACCATGTACTCATCAATCGGCAGCCACGCCGTGCAAATGCCGAGCTCTTTCGCCCTCGTGTAGCTTATTTTCTTTAAGAATGCAGAGGGAGATCTTGTTTAGTTTAGCTGTTTCTCCACTATAACATCTCTTTAATAAATGATGATAGAAACACACGAGTCTCACCTTTTGTATGGTTTCATCCACTAAACCTCCTAGGATATAAGCTTTATCTTCCTCCACATACTCTAAAGCTAACATGGAAACATAATGAATATTTACATAGAACTAAAATGAAAGAAATAAATTTGGCTTATTGTAATGACAGATGTTGTTCAAGGCAGTGTTATTGTTAACTAAAATTAAAACTATTAAGAATTAATCGGTAATTGAATTAAAGCTGAAATAAAAATAAATAGAAATAACAGATGAAAAACGAACACTTAAAAAATGAAAATAAATTAAGTTGACATACTTAAATGAGTAAAACTGTAATAAAAAATTATATAAAATAATATAAATGTATATAAACTAATAAAAATTACAAAAACACATATCAAACTTAAATTCAAATAAAAGAAAAACTAAAATTGAACTGAAACATAAATATAAAAGCAAACAAAAATATGAAAATAAAAGCAATTACAAATATTAATAAATACTATAATAATAAATAACATTAAAGTTTTTTCTTATTACATTTAATCAATATAACATTTTGATGAAAATGCCACAAAGATGAACATTTTCACCATTTTGAAACAGTATGCACCAATGAATCATGCACAATAAACCCAGGACCGTGCAAAAAAAAACATTTTGATTTCATGTTGACTTTTAACTAATTCTTAATGCAGTATAGAATATGGGCGATATGAACCTTCACTTGCATCTGGAGTTAAATATATCACATCTTCAGAGGGAAACAGATGAAACCAGCTCTCCTCAGTCACATCAATCTGTGGGATTCAGAGACACAATAACAAAAATTGCTTACTGTACGCAATTTCTATGATTTTTTTTTTTTTTTTACTATAGTAGGTTTTAAAATCAAGATTAGACTAACCAAATAATTCAGGAAGCCGTCATTCATCCGAACACACTCCTTATACAGCAGACTGTCCTCTTTTAACTCCGTCAGAAACACGCGGAAAGGCTGTAAGGCTTTTTTATTGCATCCGTAAAGGCGCCTGATCTGACATGCAAGGCGGCAGATTTCCTTTGAGAAAAAAAAAAGAAAAAAAGTATGAATAAATAAAACTCTCACTTTATTTATCAAGCAAGCAGGGTCAGGTATCAACCTGCCAGACTTCTTTATATAAATGCTGTGTTTGTTTAGTAAATCTCACTTTTGGGAGACAGACAGTCAGTCGTGCTGAGATCAACACACAGGCGCAGTCCTGCTCCTCTGGCCTCCTCCAGTCTCTCTTTGGTAATTGCTTTTATGACACGTTTACTGAGCTGTGGGCGGAATTCATTCACATCTGCAAGATAGACATCTAATCAGTTAGGAAGCAGTCTCCGTTCCAGAACACAATATACAAAACTGTTCAAAAGTTTGGGGTCAGTAAGAAGTTTCCTGAAGTCTCTTCTGCTCACCAAAGCTACATTTATTTGGTCAAAAATACAGTAAAACAGTGAAATATTATTACAATTTAAAATAACTTTTCTATTTGAATATGTTAAAGCGGGGGGTCTAATGCTGTTTCATGCTTTCCGACTAAGCCTGGTTTCTCCCAAGGTTTTTTCTCCATTTCTGTCACCGATGGAGTTTTGGTTCCTTGCCACTGTTGCCTTTGGCTTGCTTAGTTGGGGACACAATTTCTGGCAACATTGCTAACTTGATTGCACAGACTTTATTGGAAGAGAGCTGAACTGGATGATGACATCACCGAATCAACAATGAACTGACTTTAGCTGGAAAAATGACTTTGTCTTCTTGTATTATTGACAAACTATTTTCCTGTTTGACACTGAAAAGCTGCTTTGACACAATCGGTATTATATAAAGTGCTATACAAATAAAGGTGACTTGACTAGACTTTACACCGTTAAAAAGTTGGATTCTCATGCTAAACATGGCCAAAGTTTCAAAAAACCAGTTGGACGTATGACGGGGTATTTCTGTGCCAAATACACTCCTTCAGTGTTCGTATAAGTTTCTGAAAGTTTTTTAAAACTGTATCGGTCTTTTATAAATCTGATAAAACTAAAGAGTCTTCAGAGATATGAAGGAGGCAATACTACTCTTTAGGTACTCAAGATTAACAAGAGATTGGCTGAAACTGTGTGTTATGTCCCCTTTAAAATGTAATTTATCCCTGTGACCAAAGTTGAATTTTCAGCATCATTACTCCAGTCTTCAGACGACGAGAGACAAATCTGATTACGAAGAAACATATTTTGTGTTAAACAGGTTGTTTTTGAAAGCTGCTCTTAATTTTCATTGATGACTGCAGTGTTAATAATTTTAATTATAGGCCTATAATTCACTGTATTGTATTCATTGTAACTCACTGTAAAACATTTTCAATGAGGAGTAAGCTAATAGCCTAATCTTTTACTATCCTTACAGCGTGTCAGTTATGTGGTGATGCACTATAAAATTAATGCGGGGCAAATTAATTGTAATAATAATTTAATAATAAAAGCTACCTAATAATAATAATAATAATAGGCCTAATAATAAAGAGAATGTAACAGGCCTACATTAATTGGAACATTAATGCCAAATCCTCCAATAAACAGTCTACAAACATGAATAACATATCAGTTGAAGTTCAGATGGTTTCCTTTAGAATTCATTTTACCAATAGCCCAAATTAGTGCTCAAAAAGAGTTAATATTGTTCATTCTTTGTGTGTGTTAGCTGCTACATACTTATATGTATATGTAGTATAAATTAGCATTACAAAACATTAAATAAAGCCATTTACAGGCAGTTCATTGTTAGTTCATGTTAACTAATGCATTAACCAACATTAACTAATTAAGCTGTTAATGTGAAGAGATGCATTAGTATATCTGTAAGTTAACATTAAGAAAAAAATTAAGTAACCCTGAACAGCGACGTTGTTCACTGTTAGTTCATGATAACTAATGCATTAGTATATGCCTAAGTTAACATTAACTAAGACTGAGTAATGCTGAACAGATGCATTGTTCATTGTTAGTTGATTTTAACTAATGCATTAACTAGCACATTCGTATGCATAAGTTAACATTAAAGTGCCCCTATTATGCCATTTCCAATAGGGATGCACCAAAATGAAAATTCTTGGTCGAGGCCGAACAAAATGATACACTGGGCCGAAGGCCAAAGACCGAATGCAGTTTTTTCGAGTTTTTTCCCCATGTATTTTGCCAATTTTTTTCACCATTGCATAAATTAAATAGCCAAAATGTGCTTTTTACTATTTTGTCTTGCTTTTCAAAGAAAAAATCAATTACAAAACAACAATTTAAAAATATTTAACACTGAACATTTTTTAACATTCTAGCAGACATCATACCAACAAAGCACAATTTAACTTAAAATTAATAAGTTAGTAAAATGTAGGTGAGATATATAATGTAGGTGAGAGTCCGTCAATTTGCTTCTCATTTTACACTTGTTCAGGTTCATCAGACTGAAAGTTTGTTCACAGAGGAAGGTACTGCCAAACAGAGAGAATATCACTTGTGCCTGTTTGCACAGACTTTTTTCAAAAGTGAAGATATTTCAGCAGTATTTAACTGGGACTTGTCTTTGCGCGCTAGACAGGCTGTCAGTCAATGCAGTTACATTTTTACGCCAGTAGATGGCGGCAAGAAACGGTCTTTATGAGTAGTCATCATTAAACCAGCCTGTTCATTCAACTAATACACATTAAAAAGCTGATTCATTCATGAATGAAACAAGGTGTTGAAGTTAATTTAACTTTGAGCGCCACTTTATAAGGTTCAATCGACGATCAACGTGTCACCTGGGTAACGCTGAAGTATGTAAATACAATGGGCAATATTGCGCCCCCAAAACTTATTGCGCTCATGTCCATATTTCGTACGATAAGTCAATATAGTAATTATTGCGACAGGCCTAGCATCGACAGCATTTTTCACCTCTTCTCGTATTTGGCATGGCGGGCCAAATTAAAAGTCACCACGGGCCAACTTTGGCCCTCGGGCCCTAGTTTGGGCACCTCTGGTTTAGAGAGACTGAATCTTAGAACTGCTTAGAACGAATCGTTTGAGAATCGCTGGAAAATGAGGTGGTATTAAATACATATTTTGAGAAAACGAGCATTTTTTTGACCTTGCATGCATGTAATCCTATTGTAGGAGACTCACACCCAAAACAATATCAGGAACCTTAAAAATGGCATAATAGGGGCACTTTAACTAAGATTGAGTAATGCTGAACAGATGCGTTGCTCATGGTTAGTTCATTTTAACCAACATTAACTAATACAACCTTATAAATGTGAACCTTATTGTAAAGTGTTAACAAAATGTCTTTACTGTCACTTTTGATCAATTTAATGCATCTTTGCTGAATAAAAGTATTCATTTCTTTAACAAACTACATCTAACAGCACTCTGATGGTTCAAGAGAAGCAAGACGATTTTTCACAGTATAAATAAGCTTTTATGCATTAAAATGTATCGCTGCCTTTCTTTGATTAACAGAAAGTTTAAAAGAACATTATTTATAATGCTGTTTGTAGCATTATAAATGCCTTTACCATCATTGATGTCTTAAAAAATATATACATTGACATATTTAAATCAAAGTAATAACCATAAATACCATAAATAAAATTAAAAATAAAACCATAAATACCATTATTTTTAACATGTAAGTTAAACATGTATGGATGGGCAGTGCTGGGAAGGTTACTTTGGAAATGTAATGGGTTACAGATTACAAGTTACCCTATTTAAAATGTAATAAGTAGTGTAGCTATTTCAGTTACATTATTAAAGTAATGTAACTGATTACATTTGATTACTTTTCTAAATTTAATTTTCTGATTTTTTCTTACTTTGTTTCTAAACTGTTAATCATTTTCAAACATTTAAAGCAGGCAGTGTTCTTCATCCCTCAAATTAAGATTAAAATAATTTAATTTTAAAGCAGCCACCACAAAATCAGACTTTAGCACCTCTTTTTACTTGGAGATCGTTCTGAGGTTAAATACAGATTTAAAATCATAACAAGATAATACAGTAATTAGCTATGATACTGTTTTTGAAATCAAATCTTTGCATAGCTATGACAGGAAACATTGGCATCTAACAAAGCCTTGGGGGAAAAAAACAGTTAATTAAAAAAAATAAAGCATATACACAAACCCAAATGGGAAATAAAACAGTTATCAAAGAAACTATTCTGTGTCCTAAACACTGGTGTCTCATATTTTAGAGCAGTCAATGCAATTTTGGAAAGAAATCAATAAAAACTGTATGCGTGTGAATATACACTACCAGTCAAAAGTTTTTGAACAGTAAGATTTTTAATGTTTTTAAAGGATTCTCTTCTGCTCACCAAGCCTGCATTTGTTTGATCCAAAATACAGCAAAAGCAGTAATATTGTGAAATATTTTTACTATTTAAAATAACTGCTTTCTATTTGAATATATTTTAAAATGTAATTTATTCCTGATTTCAAAGCTGAGTTTTCAGCATCATTACTCCAGTCTTCAGTGTCACATGATCCTTCAGAAATGATTATAATATGCTGATTAGCTGTTCAAAAAACATCTCCGCTATCTTATCACAACTTTTAGATCTGTCGATTGAGCCTGAACCTTGTCTTTTCCTTCTTAATGATGATTCTTCAGTAACCCTGACTCTAAACCAAAAACGAACTTTGTTCTCAGGGTTAACAGCTGCAAAGAAGACTATTATCAGTTTTTGGCTTCCTCCTACTTCCCTGTCAAAACAGCAATGGCTGTCCTATTTTATAGATATTGTTTGATTGGAGCGATCCACTGCCGTAATTAATAAAGCAAAGACTTCAACCATTCTCCATTGGAACCGAATACACATTAGTCTGATTTCCATTATTGAAACTTAAGTGCTGTAATGGTAAGGGATAGGAGAGCTTACTAAGATGTATGTATATGTAAAGTATATGGATTCTTTTGTTTGTTTAATTTGTCTTACCTTTATTCCATTAGACATTTTCTCCCTTTGTTTTATTAATTTCTGACATATGTATATAGTTTTCTTACACACACACATATATATATATATATATATATATATATATATATATACACACATATACATACATGTATACGTTTTCTTATTTTTTTTTTTACTCTTTTTCATGTGAGACAGTTTACCACTCGTGCATCCACTAATGTTTATCTGTTATGTTTAAATGTTTAACATTTATCTGTTGATTTGTGTGTGTCATAAACAGTATGTGGGAAAAACTAGTAGATCGATCAGAACGCGTATTATCGAACATATGAGCTCCATTAGGAGAAAGGACATAAAATATCTGGTAGCTCGTCATTTCAATGAAGCGTCACATTCCATATCGGACTTGAATTTTACGGTAATAGAACATATACCTCAGTTTCGAAGGGGTGGTGACATGGAAGGATATATCGTATGGTGTTTTTGGGCCTGCGTGTGTCAGACTCTGTTCCATGTTTTGTCTGTGTCTTGCTCCCCAG